AATTATTAGTAATTCCGGGTTTTTGAACAGACCTCGTATGTATATACGTATTAAATAAGGTGTAAATAGTGCATGCTTAAAATATAATATATTTTAAATTCTTTAATTTTAAAATTTACTTTATTTTTAGTTAGTTTACAAAATTATACTCGCAACGATGAAGGAAGATTTGACTGGCGAAAATTCTATAGATGATTTTGGCACCATTTTCAGTAATTGGATGATAGACTCATCAGAGCTACTTGCTTACAAAGAAGATTTATATGAATATACTGAGCCTGATTATGACATAAATTACGATTTTCGTAACTTCGAAGTGCTCGACACACCCAAAGAATCTAAAATAGAAATGCCTGTGCTACAGCAAGTTGGAAGTTCAGAAATATTTCTAACAAATCAATCAGGGTGTGTTCACAATACTCCGTTTTGTGATGAATCATGCTTGTTTCTGAAAACTCCGTTATGCAACGATAATTATGAACAAGTTATTAATTGTGAGAATATGTTCTCGCCCGACTTAAATTTTATTGACGAATTCACTTTAGATCCAGTTACAGAGAGTATTTACAACATACACGAAACTATGAATATTGACGAGTTAAATGTTGATGGTAAATTGCCGCAGTTGTCTCAAATCGCTGTGAAGAAAGATGACGAGGAAAAAACTTTCCAATGTACCTACAAATCTTGCAACAAATGGTATGCAAAATCTTCGCACTTGAAGGCTCATTTGAGAAGACATACTGGTGAGAAGCCGTTCCGGTGTACCTGGCCAGGTTGCTGCTGGAGGTTCTCGAGATCAGATGAATTATCACGACACCGAAGATCGCATTTCGGGATTAAGCCATACAACTGCTGCTACTGCCCAAAAGCCTTCTCCAGGTCAGATCATCTGGCAAAACACAAAAAAGTGCACGAACGCCGAATGGGACAATACTCGAAAATCGGAAATTGCAAGGCAGCATTTAAAATCAATTGAACTTCACTGAATATTATAGCACAATAATAATATATTATTAGTTATTTAATTCAAATACATTTATCTATATCACTTAATAATGGAACACCCTAAAACAAAAAACTTTAATTGTTATAGAGATTAATATGTACTCCAATTGCACCTAAAGTATATTGTATGCCAATGTATCTAAATTATATTGTAATATTTTTTCTGTGTGCGTTTTACTCTGCAGAAATATTTGAACTTTAAAAATCAAATTAGTCTTTATGACGTCACCATGTGACATTTGAAATTTAAAATAACAAAATACCTGTAATTTTGATTTTTTTAACTTCCCGTAGGGTAGGATTTTATATTTCCTCGACGTTTCAAGCTATTCTGAATCGAATAAGACCAAGTTTGAAAAAAGTATGTGTGTGTGAAAAGATTTTTGACCCTTCGTCGGCGTTTTCTCAAAAATGATTGACACGATTTCAAAAATTTAAAAGCCGTATGATGTAAGGACTACACTGTACATTTGTCAGTTTTGCGCGACAATCAGACAAGCCATTTCTTTGTAAATAGCAGAAAAGTGAAAAACTCTGAATCGATTTAAAAATTTTTAAAAACTGTTTGAAAGATATTGGTCGGAAAAGATACTGATTAGTTTTTGGTAAAAATTCGCTGACACAAGTTCTTGTAATTAACTGTTAAAAAGAAAATCCGACGTTAAAATTTTTTTTTTGCTATAGACATCATGGTCTTCTAGAACATACTGAAATATTACGGCCCTACGACAAGTCATTTAATTTTGAAAAATCATCAAAGTTTGAAAATGAATAGCGGTTTTTTTACGTTTGTTAAAATTAGATCTTTCATCGACGTTTTCTCAAAAACGGTTGAGACAATTTCAAAAATTTAAAAACCATTCGATGAAACTTAATAAGCACTCACGTTGGTTAGGTTTTGATACGATCGGCTGAGCAGTTTCTGTGTAATTAGCAGAAAAGTGGAATATTTTTCGTCCACGTTTTAGCCAAAAATCCTGAATCGATTTTAAAAATTCAAAACCTATACGAAAGAAACTTTATTTTCGAACTAAACAGTTAAAAATTTTATCTAAATATCTAAATCTCAATTTCGCTTAATTAAGTCAATTTTGGAAAGTTAATGTAAATTGATTAAGGCTAAATGCCACTTTCAACTAGCTTAAATTACAGATTGAACAGATTTTTTTTGTTACATATAATTTTTAATAATGAAATTTAAATCATTTTAATATCTCTCACTCAGATCAATTTTTCGTAGTAGTGATCACATCAAAATTTAAAAACACTAAAAACAGGAAATTTTAAATATTTTATTCAATTGTCAAGCGTTTGTGAAAAGTATGGGTTGAAATTAAAACTTCGCTATTCGTGACAATTAAATTACAAAACCCCATCAAATATCTGAAAATAATATGCTTATAATGCTTATATAAAACTGCACCTTACGAAATAGAAAATTGTCGAATGCAAAAATCCTGCTTTAGAGACTTAAAAAATCGATTTTTTTGCAAAAATGTCTTCAAAAACTACCCAAGAATATATCCCTAAAATTTCTGAAAAAAATTTAAAATATTTTCGGAGTTAAAAAAGAAATAGTGGGCATTTATACGAACGTAACGGAAACTCGACGCGTGATTTTTCAATTGTTCAATTTTTTCGATTTTGAATTTTTAGAATAGAATTATCTTCTAGTTGAACCTAAAAAACCTTAAAAAAAGTTATAATTAACCAATTTTTAAAGTGAAATTTTGTATCAAAAAAAAGTGGTGAATTCTCATTTTTTTCTATTCAACTAGAATTTATACTACATATTTAAAATATATATTTATTTTGATTTTTACCTTTCCGTAGTTATAGCAATGGGCCGAAAATCAAAAATAAAAATTTTTGCACATCTTCACGTTTTGAAGGTTTTTCAACATTTCATACCTCAGAAAAAATGGATGTGTGTGTGTGTTTTGTAGGTCCGCATTTTTTGTCCACGTTTTCGGGCGCACGGATCAACCGATTTGAATGATTTAAACAACAATCGAATCCTATTGATAGGGAGATGTGCTTTGCCTTTTTGGCAAAGGCAAGTCCAGCCGTCACGGAGATACAGAGCAAAGAGTGCAGAAAATAGAGAACGGAGTGTCCGAATTGAATGATCCAAAAAACATTCAATTTGAATGATTGGAAAAAGTGGTGTTTAGTTTTAGGCAAAACCGAGCTAATTGTGGAAAAATGGCAGTTTTTGAGAGAACTAAGCGTTTCTCGCCAAATGCTTGTACTCGGCATATTATTTCAAATTATGTCATATATTTTAATAAAAAAAATTGAGAGGAATGTTGAAATATATTACAATAAAACCAGAAAGTTTCGTTTCAATTAAATATTTATTTCCTTCCTTAAAAATTCCTCAAAAAGAACGTTTTTTGAAGCCTCTAAAGCAGGCTCCTCCCTTAAAATAGCCTTTAACATTAATTATTTCGTACCTTCATTTTCAAATTTACAAAAAGTAGCAAAAAAAAAAAACAAATTTTCTGACAGTCCTATAAAAATACTTTAGGCTATTGGCAATATTCTCGAATCTAGTGTATTATTAACTTCCCGTAGGATAAGTTATTGTAATCGTCCAAAAATCGGAATTGAAAATTTTTGCATTTCTCGACGTTTTGAAGGTTTCTGAACATTTTGGCATACCTAAGAAAAAATGGATGTGTGTGTATGTGTGTGTGTGTGTGTATGTATGTATGGATACAATTTTTCGTCCACGTTTTCAGGCGCATGATTCAACTGATTTGAATGGTTCAAAAAACATTCGATTCCTATTGATAGGAAAATGTGCTGATTAGTTTTTGGCAAAGGCAGGACCAGCCGTTTCGAAGATATAGAGCAAAGAATGCGGGTTTTTGAGAGATCGGAGCATCGGATTTGAATGATCCAAAAAACATTCAACTCGTAATGACGGGGAGAAGTAGTGATTAGTTTTTGGCAAAGGCAAGTCCAGCGGTTTCGGAGATACAGAGCTAAATGTGCAAAAAATGACAGTTTTTGAGAGAACTAGGCGTCCGATTTGAATGATTCAAAGAACTTTCTGCTTGTTTTAACAAAATGATTGCTTTTGGGGGAAAAAAATTGTCTCAATTTTTTTTTTCAATTTTTTTTTGTATATCGACTTAAGTTCTAATATACTTTAAACAAATATTTTCAACTTTGCAATTCAGTTTATCTAATTCTTATAAATATTAGACAATTTTACAGTATTTATTTATAATTATATATTTGAAAACTTTTAACATTCCTCGAACATTTCGTTGCGGTACGGGAAGTTCCAGCAATTTGCCTTAAGGCACGATGCCATGCACCACACTAGTTATCTTTGTATTTTTCACTAAACCTAATTATTATGATATATAATAGTGTTCAGAATTTTATATAATGCTAAACTATGATGCTGAATACTATAATTATAACAAAAATATAAAACAGTTTTGTACTAACAACGGTAGTACTTATTTCTAATAAATATTTAAAAAAATATTCATTCAAAAAAAAATAATTGTTATTGTATCCTTTAATAGTATTTGGTACATAAAATAATATGTAAGTACTTACTTATTAGTAAGCATGAAAAATCCTCCACAGGCCCCGATTAGCATAGCACAATTTGTTAAAGTATAAGAAACATCATAATACATGGTGTTATGATGTATAACCCATAACTTCAACTTCACAATATTATTAATTTATTAAAACGTTTATTAATTTATTAAAACTGATTTATAAACGCTTTATGTTATTCATTGAACTAACTAAAATAATTTATATGTCAAAACTTAAATCGGTTACACCACGACTAGTTCCATTTTAATATTTAACGTAAGCGAACCATAAGCGAACGTCAAGTATAGTTCCTCTCACGATCTTGCCCGTCATAGATGGCAGCACCATCTTCATTGTTTGTCTGTTTGACAGAATGAAATTAACCTTATAGCACATGGCTGCTTCGTGATTTTATCTCACTGATTATGGAAGAAATAAATGAATTCAATCAATTAAATCTAAAGCAATGGCTCCTAAATCAATGCGAAAAACTAGGTATGTAAAATATTTATAAAACAATTACATGATATCTACAACTTTAATTCTTTGCATTAGGAATCAAAAAGCCAACTCCAATCCAGCAACATTGTATAAAACCGATTTTGGAAGGGCAGGACTGTATAGGAGCTGCTAAAACTGGTTCAGGAAAAACTTTTGCATTTGCTTTACCAATTCTTCAAAAATTGTCAGATGATCCTTATGGCATATTTGCTTTGGTTCTTACACCGACCCATGAATTGGCTTATCAAGTACTACATATTGAATATCAAAAAGTATTAATTGTACTGAAATTAATATTTCATTTGTATTAGATTGCAGACCAGTTTTCGGTTCTCGGTCAACCTCTTGGTGTCAAAGTGTGTGTAGTAGCTGGTGGCACAGATCAATTATATGAGTCACAAAGATTAGCAAAAAGACCCCACATAGTTGTTGCTATGCCAGGTCGATTGTCTGACCATATATCAGGTTGTGACACATTCAGTTTGAAAAAAATCAAGTTTTTAGTACTTGATGAAGCTGACAGGTAATTCCATTATCAATACTGAACATTTTATTTATATATTCAATGGATTTACTTATATATCCAAGTTAAGACTCATAAATCAAATTTTCATATTTAATTTTATTTACAGAATGCTAAGTGGACATTTTGATGAAAGTTTAAAAGTAATAGCTTCTGCTTTACCACCATCACCACAAACTCTTTTATTTTCGGCAACACTTAATGATCAAATAATGAATTCCAAAATTTTTAATATATCACAAAATGTAAGTGAAATTAAATATTATCTATCATTTCATCAAACTTACTTTTTTTATTATATTGGCATAGGCATTTCGATGGACAAATTCCTCCGAAGTGGCAACAGTAGATACGTTGGACCAGAGGTACTTACTATGTGCAGATTATGATCGTGAGGTTATGCTAGTTCAATTAATAAGAGAGATCAGAGAATCTACTGACGTTGGAAATATTATTATATTCACTAATACTAAAAAGTAATTATTTTGAAAAATAGATTAAATATAATGAATGGAATTGAAACTAAATGTACTATTTATAGGGATTGCCAATTACTTTCTATTACACTAAATAAGATTGGAATGGAAAATGTATGCCTCCATGGTTTTATGAAACAAAGAGAACGTTTGGCTGCTCTTGCACAATTTAGATCAAAAACAATAACTAATCTAATTGCAACAGATGTTGCTAGCAGAGGGCTTGACATATCTTGTGTTGATTTGGTCATAAATCACAAACTGCCTAAGGAACCCAAAGAATATATACATAGGTAAATGCAGATAAATATATATTAATACGATCTGTAGTCCATTATGTTATAAAATATACTTCTATTAATTGTGCTTCTTCATTAGAGTGGGACGTACAGCTAGAGCAGGAAGGAAGGGTTTAGCGATATCAATATTCAGGTTTCCTAGAGATTTACCATTTTTAGGGGAAATTGAGAAGGTTATAAATACAAAAATAACTGAATATAAAATAAATGGTAAGTGTTCACTTTCAAACAAATAATGTTTTAACGAATTAATTAATATTCCAAATTATTTGAGAGTTATTTTACTCAATATTACAGAAAGAGCTGCAGATAAAATATTTTTACAAGTCAGTGTTACAAAACGAGAAGCTGAAATAAGTCTAGATAATAATGATTTCAATGAGAGAGCATGGAATTATCGAAGGAAAAAATGGATAGAACAAGGACTAGATCCCGATGTCATGGAGCAAGAGTAAATATTTTATATATGAACTTAAATCTATTTTAAATGTGAAAATAAGTCACCATTTAATTTATTTTAGAATGATCAAGTCTTTCAAGAAACAAAGAAAAGAGAGATTAAAAGCTCAAAAATTGGAAAATGAAAAAAATAAAGCCCTCGCTGATGCAGTTCAGCAGGATGAAAGATTTAAAGACGTACCTAAAAAGAAACAAAAATTGAACAAATCTAGCATGTCAAAAAAATAATTAATAATAATAAAAATGTAAATAATACTATTTGTTTTAATAACCAAATTATTATTAATTTTTTTGGATTTGTGAAGTATTCATTTTATTCTAACAGGATATTTATTATTTATTATTAAATTATATTTTATATTTCATCGCCATTAAAGGATTAACATAGAATATATTGGTAATTTAAAGAAATTGCTATAAAACAAAACATTTGCGTCGAAAACTTTCTGTGTTGATCTTTTTTAGAGTATTATATATGGTGAATCTAATATTTAAAGTGTACACAGAAATATAATATAATAATAAGATAAGAAAGATACATTAAAAAACTTAAATATAAGTTGTATCGTGATTGGGAAAGCCGGATGTCAAATAAAATATGAAGTGAAGGATAAAAAAAGCTCATAAAAATAGTACTTTGCTTAGCAATTATAATAAATTCTAGCGGATATCTATATCAAAAAATGTTTTAATTTTTTCTCGAAATAATATATTTCATTCTAAACTGTAATTTGTAAACCTTCCGCTTAAGGCCTTTGTAATTTTTAATCATATACAATCAAATCCAGGCACTGTTATACAAAAACAGTTACCATTTACACATAATAAATTTTATTCTTAAATATAATTAACAATTTAAACCATTCGTTCTACATTGTTCGGGACAGTCCTAATAATCTCTTCCTTGCGGTCCCAAATTTTTCACTAACACTATTTGTCTCGGAATCAGTTTTTCAGATTACCAAATTTTGGAAAATATCTACTTTGGAATATATATTGCAATCACAATTATTATTACAAAATTGGAACCAAAAAAATGTGCATATCAAAATACGCGACGCGATGTAAACGTGCATTCAAAGGTGTGTTGGAATGATAATAAATTTACAAAAAGTCGAATTCTTCTTCTGCCTGCCTGAAAGACTTCTACGAAAAAAATATTTTCTTTAATAACTTTATTATTAAAAACTTTCGCTACGAGCGTCGTCTATAGACGACATCCGGTAGAAAATACAAGGAATTGAAAGACGAGACACAGGACGCAAAAGCATGGAATTGGACGATCGGACGTTCGGAAAGTAAGAGGTGATATATATGATGGTAAGAGAGGTAATATAGCACCTAAAATATAAACTAGTGGGCTGTATGGCATCGTGCCTTAAGGCAAATTGCTGGAACTTCCCGTACCGTAACGAAATGTTCGAGGAATACTGAATGTTTTCAAATAGATAATTATTAATATTGTAACATTGTCTAATATTTATAAGAATTATATAAACTGAATTGCAAAGTTGAAATTATTTGTTTAAAGAATATTAGAACTATAGTCAGAATTAAAATTAAAATATGAATTATTTTCGATATACAAAAAAATTTTTTTTTTGAAAAAAAAAAGTTGGAACAATTTTTTTCCAAAATCAATTATTTTGTTAAGACAAGCAGAAAATTCTTTGAATCATTTAAATCGGACGCTTAGTTCTCTCAAAAACTGCCATTTTTTACATATTTAGCTCCGTATCTTCGAAATGGCTGGGCCTGCCTTTACCAAAAACTAATAAACACTTTTCCGAATCATTACTAATTGAATGTTTTTTAAATCATTCAAATCGGATACTCCGTTCTCTCAAAAACTCGATTTCTATTTTCTGCACTCTCGCTCCGTATCTCCGAAACGGCTGAACCTGCCTTTGCCAAAAACTAATCAGCTCTTCTCCCTATCAATAGGGATCGAATGTTTTTTGAACCTTTCAAATCGGTTGATCCGTGCGCCCTAAAACGTGACTGGAAATTTGTATCCATAAATACATACACACTCACACACACATCCATTTTTTCTGAGGTATGCCAAAATGTTCAGAAACCTTCAAAACGTTGAGAAATGTAAAAATTTTCAATTTCGATTTTCGGCGCATTACAATAACTTACCCTACGGGAAGTTAACTAGTGGCGCATGGCATCTTGCCTTTAGGCAGATTGTTGGAGCTTTCCGCACTTTCCGCTTTAAATTTTTTTGAAAACTGAAAAAAATATATTTTTAAGAACTATGATATTTTTTAAAAAAAATGATTTTTTTAATACATATTTCAAATTGATTTGAAAAGTTTGAACTTTTTTTTAAAGCAATCGCTGTGCGTAGCTGTTTTAGATACGATATATCGAAATAAAAAATTAATTACATTTTTGTGAGGTTTTCACAGTAGAGAATAATAAAGTGATAAATAATATTAGGTATCCAGAAAAATTTGAAATATGTATTAAAAACACATGTAATAAAAGGGAACGTTACATAAATATATGCAACAAAAAACAATATTATTTATTTAATAAAAAAATTATTTGGTGTTTCAGAATTCCATCTGTGTAAGTTCAGGAGTAAAACATCCATGATAGTAAGGTGATGATAATATCATTCTATGACTTTTAATCACAAAACTGATATAAATAAAAAATCTATGCCTTAATACTAATAAAAAATGCACGATTTTTGGCCTTCTTAATTATTCATGTCAATTGTATGTAGTTTAGTTTTCTGATCGCACTGAATAAAAAGAACGCAATGAAATATGCGTATCAATAGAAAGATCTAATACAAGTTCCAAAATATGTTCTTTTAGTCTAAATCATTTATATCATGTGGTTAAATTAAAACACGAATTGTAGATCATATCGATCATTAAACAGAAACTGTGAAAAAGAGCTGAATTGGATACCATCAGTATAAAAATCGCCAGAAAAGTTCTAATACATCATTGAGAACATATAAGATCGTAAACAAGTTAACTCTAAATATTGACTTTTATTTGGCTCATTATTTTCCTATTAAAGAGACTTTTGTAAATAATGTCCATTGTATTGCTGTAGGAGGAAAGTAATTAAAACTTTTTAATGGTGGAAGAATAAACTCAAACCTGTAAAATTTCCAAGAACGCTTTAATATTTTATGAAATTTTATAATGGATAGATGTCATTTCAAAACAAAGACATCTTGGTATCAGTGCCAATCAATCAACTTCAGTAGGAATTCTAATCAAATATTTAGAATCAAATGCAGAAGTAATCTGTAATAAGGAAAAGTTCTATACAACACGGAACCAAATAAACCATTCGATAAATAACCATTTATCGAATAACCATTTAAGAAACAATATAAAACGAAAGCGTACCTTGTTATTACAAGAGATTTCATAATACAAAAATGAATATTTTAAATTTCACAATAATGTTATTAGTCGGTTTTCCAACATCGGAGACGATACAAGTTTACAAGAATTTTATCGCCGATTTATACACAAAGTTCAAACCAGTTTCGTTCGTCGTTGGAGTTGGAATGTGTTGGAAAAATTCTGGTATGTTTTTAAATTTATTTGTACAACTTTAGTATATTTTATACTATATATATTACTATATATATACTGTATATATTTAGTAATAAATATATTATATATATATATATATATATATTATATATTATGTATATAATATACATAATATAATATATATATATATAATATATAAGTATATAATATATATATATACTTATACGTATATTATTATATTTTTTATTCGATTTAGAAACTACAAATCTAATGAGATCGTTAAGTTCCGTTGGAATACGTTCAGCATTTCCAATGGAAAATTACACTTTGTTCCAAAGTTTGAGACTTTATGACGCCGGAATTTACGGAGTGATCATAAATAGTGATTGTGCGAGAAGCAGATCGTTTCTTGAAGAGGTATATCATAAAACCTAATTTATCCTTACATTGTGCAATAGCTAATTTATATAGTGCACATGTAGTCTTACTAAATGGCGTAGCGGACATACAACTGTGTGTAATATGTAACAGATGATCAGTAATAACTTGATTCGAATCCGATTTTGGTCGAAAAAATAACAAAAATTGAAAAACACAAGCTATGAGCACGACCAAAACTATTTACTGTTTATACAAATAGTTAACAATAATCTTTACGTATTAGTCATAAGTACCAAAAATACTAGAAAGTTTTAAAAACAGATAAAAATGTTTTCATTAAAAGTCTTCTCGGAGGCGTGGGTTCGAATCCCACCGCTGCCACCAAATTAATTTAGGTACCACCGATGACACCAAAATACCACTGACAATGCCAAACATGTGTGTAGGTTCTTCCTACTGCTAAACAAAGCTGTTACCAATCTGTAAAGGCTGATCAGTAAAACAGATGAAGACGTTCAATGTATTTGCTTATTTCATGACTTCTTGTACACTTTTCATTTAATTTAACTTAACAACTAAACCTGAATACGACTTCATTGATAACTAAAGTAATTCTGACTCATGTTGATCTGCACTTTTATGAAAACTAAATGACGACTGACTTATATTGATCTGTACTTTATAAAAACTAAATGACGACTGACTGGAAATACGTCATTGTAAATTTGCAAGTCTTTTTATTAGCTCGCTCTCATTATGATATTGCAATCTTAGATAACATTTTCTTACGACTTGTTCAATGTCATTCCATAGTGCAACTCAATGCTTCATTTAGTTGTTGCGTCGTTTGTGGTTTGGAAAGGAATTTTATCAACGCTTGGTGGGCTTGCCAAGGATATCTCGAACATACAATGCAGTAGATTAGTAATTCACTACAACTGCGTAATTTGTGTATTCTGACCGTAACATTTATAATATTTATTTATAATTATTACGAATGGGTGCATACCCCTTATACAGTGGCGTACCTAGAATTTTTGCCGCCCGGGGCGATCTCCACATTACCGCCCTTTCTATTACAAATAGTGGTTTTTATAAATTAATATAAATAAACTAGTGGTACATGGCATCGTTCATTGAGGCAAATTGCTGGAACTTTCCATACCGAAACATAAAATTTTTAAAAAAGATTAAAATTTTTTTGAAAACTTTGAAAAAAAAATATTTTTGATAATTTTGAAAATTTAGGAAAAAATTGACTTTTTTGAGAAATCTGTTTTTTTATATTTTGATTTTTTTTGAAAATTTGTAACTTTTTGTCAAAACAATCGCGCTGCGTAGCTGTTTTGGAGACAAAATATCGAAGCGCGTAAGCGTCGCGTTGATAGACATTGACACGGAACCCATAGAAATGCAAATTAAATTTATTCTTATCATTAAAATCTCTAGAAAATATCAGATAATTTGACGTGCATATCTACAATATCTAATGATCATTTTGAACCGCCAAATGTCGTTTTTTTACCTTTTCTTATTGAATCTCTGTAACCGCTAGACCTGTCTTCCCAAAAACAGTGTTCGTTTAGTCAATACAATGAATTGAATTGAATTATTTAAATCGGACGCTGCGTTTTCTCAATAACTAAATTACAATCTTTAGCTTTTTTGTCCAGTATGTTTGAAACGGCTTAACCTGCCATTACCAAAAACTAATTAGCACCTCTTATCAGTACGAATCGAGTGTTTGGTTCAAATCGGTTGATGCGTGTACCTACAATTATCGACGAAAGTTTGTACCTAAAAACATCCATTTTTTCTAAGATATGCCAAAATTCAGAAACCTATGAAACGTAAAGATATATAAAAATTTTCACTTTCGATTTTTTTGCGATTACTGTAGTCTATAACTTACCCTACGGAAAGTTAATAAATTGTTAAGTTATTTAATCAATATTAATTAATTAATACTCAGAGTAATTTTTTTTAGAAAAATTTATATGCACTCGTTAACATATTTATACTAGTGGAGCGCATTGCATCGTGCCTTAAGGCAAATTGCTGGAACTTCCCGTACCGTAATTAAAAATTTGAGGAATGAAAATAATTAATAATTGTTTTGAATAATTTCAAATAGATTATTATTACATACTGTAAACTTTTAAATGCTTTTTAAATTGGGCGACGAGCGTATTTTATGAACAACTTATGTGCACGTTTACAAGAGTCCATTTTTTGGAATTTGAAAAAAACGTTTTTTCTAAATATTTTAAGAATTTGGAAATTTCTGAAAATATTCAATTTTTTTTATGGAAATATTTTCAAATTATTGTAAGAAATCATTTTTTTATTTTTTCAAAATTTAGTATTTTTTTTTTGAAAATGATAAATTTCGAAAATTGAACTTTTTTGAAAATTTCGATTTTTTTTTTTTAAATTTCCAAAATTATTAAATTTTCTATAAATGCATTTTTGCATACTGTCTGCTTAAGCAAAATGTTTTCTGAATTAATCTAATCGGATGATCCGTTCTCTCAAAAACTGCATAACCGTTTTTACACTCCGAAACGGCAAAATTATAAATCGGATATTTCATACTGTCGAAATTGTTAAGAACATTTGTCTAAACCATATAAATAAACTTCAAAATTAAAAATCTTGGTACGGAACCCAAAAAAATTACACAAAATGTGTACACAATATTAAAATCTCTATAAAATATCTGATAATTTGATGTACATATGTCTAATAAACATTTTCGATCGCCAAATGACACTTTTTTAACTTATTTTTATTGAGAGTCCGAATCCGCTAGACCTGCCTTCTCAAAAATATAATCAGTTCTTCATCTTGTCAATACAAGTAAAATGTTTTTTGAATTATTAAAATCGGACGCTCCGTTTTCTTAAAAACTGAGTTACCAATTTTGGCACGTTTCGAACGGCTAGACCTGCCTTTGAAAAAAACTAATCAGCACGTCTCCTTAGCAATACGAATCGAATGTTTTTTGAATTATTCAAATCGGATGCTTAGTTCTCTCAAAAACAAATATTTTTTGCACATTTTGCTCGGTATCTCCGAAACGATTGGACCTGCCTTTACCAAAAACTAATCAGAACCATACATATTCCTATCATTAGGAATCGAATGTTTTTTGAACCATTCGAATCGATTGATCCGTGCGCCCGAAAACGTGAACGAAAAAATGCGAACACACACATGCATTTTTGAGGTATGCTAAAATGTTCAGAAACCTTCAAAACGTGAAATGAATTAGTTGCTTTTTACAAGTGTAAGTAAATTAAAAAATGCCGCCCCAAAATAAGTGTATATATATATATATATATATATATATATATACGTATATATATATATATATATATATATATATATATATATTAGTTATTTAATATATAATATTTGAAAATACCGGTCATTCGTAGAAGTCAGAATAGATAGATGTCCCTGCAACAATGTTTCAACATCTATGAAGTTGGCCATGTTTATTAGAGTAATTGTTTATCTAATGCCATGATATTGTGCAAATGTCATAAAAATTAAGATATTAAAAAAAACTGAAATCCGCGTTTATTGTTAGTACGAAATATTTACATTTTACCATGGAATATAATATTAATAGAATGTGTTATAAATGTGGCGAGGTGGGTCATTTTGCCCTGCATTGCAAGGCAAAAGTAGGCGAAGGTATGGAAATCCGCGAGCGACAGAAATGCTCCCGTTGCAATAAAGCTATTGACTTTGCTGTAGAGTGCAAAAAAGAAGGTGTCCGATACAACGTCCCAAAACACAATGCAAGGAAGTGCCCTGGAAATGGTGGTTATGACTCCCAGAGAAGGTCCGATAAGGCCTGCTTTAATTGCAAAGAAATTGGCCATACCTATCGTTACTGCCCGTATGATGAAACCTTCTGCGTGCTTTGTGCCAATTTTGGTCACTTAGGCCGTGACTGTGACAAAAAAACAGCATGTTATAACTGCGGCAGAAAAGATCATAAAATTCGTAACTGCCCAGAAGAATCGATATACTGCCTTCTCTGTGGCGATTATGGTCACATAAGCCGCAAATGTGATCTAAATGTGTGATCTAAAATATGTGAATATGTCAATGAAGTTTGGTTTATGTCATGCATCGATGCAACGAATTTAAATTTATTTAATAAACAGTAGTATTTTATTTTCGTATGAATTGAACAGTTAACCATTTTGTTACTATAAAATAAACAATGAATTTTTTATTCATTCTCGTTGGCTTATGTTATAACATTTAGGAGATATTTAATATAATTAGTTTAACTATTGATACTATTGATATAAACATATTGTTATGATGCAGTTGATTGTTTAAACTTAAAAAACTTATCTATTAATTGTTAGCTTATTCATATATTTACAAAAATAAAATATGTGTTTGAGAGAAATTAGTAGTTTTATATCCTATCATATATAATATCATATTGTCCAAAAAATAACGTTTTGATAGTAAGAGTTGTAATTATTTTGAATTCATTGTGATTTTTTGTTTCGTAGTTTGAAATTAAATACATTAAAGAACATTTCTCATCCCCGAAATATCAAAAAGTTAGTAAACATTACACCTAGCTTTCATTGACATTCTAAATAAAACGCTCCTGCAGGCTAGACAAGAACCCTGAACGCTGATTGGTCAGATCAGTTTGACATTGCACGTATCGTACGCTGTATGACGGCGACACACCCATAAAGCTCACGCGTCAGGGTACACACTGAATATATAACTTAGCGAACAAAAGAATAAGTTTTATTGAAAATTCGACGCTCTACAAAACAAATTATAACTAGTGGGGTGGGTGGCATCGTGCCTTAAGGCAAATTGCTGGAACTTCCCGTACCGTAACGAAATGTTCGAGGAATACTGAATGTTTTCAAATAGATTATTATAAATATTGTAACATTGTCTAATATTGAACGTTGAAATTATTTGTTTAAAGTATATTAGAACTATAGTCAGAATTAAAAATAAAATCTGAATTATTTTCGATTTACAAAAAATTAAAAAAAAAAAAAAAAATGGAACAGAATTTTTTTTTTTCAAAATCAATTATTTTGTTAAAACAAGCAGAAAGTTCTTTGAATCATTCAAATCGGACGTTTAGTTCTCTCAAAAACTGCTATTTTTTACATATTTAGCTCCGTATCTTCAAAATGGCTGGGCCTGCCTTTGCCAAAAACTAATAAACACTTCTCCCAATCATTTCTAATTGAATGTTTTTTAGATCATTCAAATCGGATACTCCGTTCTCTCAAAAATACGATTTCTATTTTCTGCACTCTTTGCTCCGTATCTCCGAAACGGCTGGTCCTGCCTTTGCCAAAAACTAATCAGCTCTTTTCCCTATCAATAGGAATCGGATGTTTTTTGAACCATTGAAATCGGTTGATCCGTGCGCCCTAAAACGTGACTGGAAATTTGTATCCATACATACATACACACACACACACACACATCCATTTTTTCTGAGGTATGCCAAAACGTTCAGAAACCTTCAAAACGTCGAGAAATGTAAAAATTTTCAATTCCGATTTTCGGCCCATTACAATAACTTACCCTACGGGAAGTTAAAAAACCTGTTTTGTAAAGCGTCGAATTTTCAATAAAACATGACATAAATAGTCACTTTTGATTCACTTATCGCTAAGTTATATCTAAAAAATATTTTTAATTTTTTTTAAATATTTCCATGCTAATTCCATACGAAACTTTGATTGAATTGCGCTCTATCTAAATGTTAATATTAAGAGCTAAAACTTCTATATATATATATAATAGAAAACGTTATTTAGCCATAAAAATCTTTTTAATTTCAATATGGTAAGCATGCTTATTTATCTATGGTGGTAAGTATGTAGTATATAAGTGAAAGAGCAAATTAACACAAATAATATGGATAATTTACGCACTGTGTACTATGTTACAAATGTTGATGAAACATATTAATAGTAATAAGTAATAATTAAGTGCCATTGAATTACTGAAATAATAACGTTCATGTTTCGATTATGCTGTTGCATGTCTAGCGAATTTAGTGAGATTTTAAAAACTCTGTAGAAAAATTTACAGCTGTGTCATAATTTGTATTGTTCCCCTTTCTTTCCTCATTAAAAACTGTTGAATCTTCAGATTTTAATATTGAACCCTTACATTTTACTGTTTCTGCAAAATTTATACATTATTATTGGAAATAAAGCATTTGTCACTGGTAACACTAACTAGAATGAGCTGTCTTTAATGAAAATAAATTATTGTTGCAGAAAAAATTGGCTTTTACGCAAGTCTAGGAATATCTCAATTGAAATACATTGAGATCCATCCACTGAAACAAATTGCTGGAACTTCCCGTATCGAAAATTAAATTCTTTAAAATAACTTTAAACTTCGAAAACAAAAAATAGATGTTTGAGAATCCATTTTTTCTATTTGAGAAACCTCTGAAACGTAAAAATATATAAAAAAAATCATTTTAGATAAATTTATTAATTTTCTTTAAAACATTGGCATATTATGTTTATTTTGATCATAAGTACATACATCAAAACAGAAATTTCAATTTATTGCTATATTGTCCTGACACTGTCGGAAGTATAATTGATCATACAGAGACCATCATAAGAATAAATGATTATTAAATTTTCTATAAGTCAGATAAATCTAAAAGAAAGAAAATAATACCTTTCTACGAGTAATATGAGGGTTTATATTAAACATTGAAACTGGACAGAAGTGAGATGAATAATCCATTATCTTGGTTTACTGCAGCCAATTATTTCTGGTAAATTTTTACAGATTATGATGATGAAATTTCGAAAAAAAAACTTTCAATTTTGGAAGTGAATAATCTCTTTCAACTCTCAATTAAATACTCAACTTATTTCTTTCATAAATAATCTAAAGTTTTCTAGCAAGTTGAGAACTCCATTTCACAAGAGAGACCATGTGTTTAACAGTACAGATTCAGTTCTTTGTATGTAGCTCACTTACAGAAATCAAACTAACAAACAATATTAATTCTTATATTTCACCATAGTGAAAACAACTTGCACTATTTTTTTTTCAGGCATCAGCTCTTCGATTGTATAATAGAACGTACAAGTGGCTAGTTTTGGCAGAAAGCAATCCTGATCCTGACATAATATTTCAAAATTTGAGTTTATATATCAACGCAGAAATCATACTAGCAACCAAAAATGGTAAAAGTAGTTCTATTTGAAAGTAAAATCTGCTTGTTATATTAACAATAAAATAATTTTTAGACAGTTCATTCTATTTATATGATATTTATGGTTACACTGGCAGAGAGAATCAACGTCTAGAAGCAAATTACACAGGGTTTTATAAAAATGACACAGGATTAGTTCTTAAGCCACAAGATCCAAAATATAGCGTTAGGAATAATTTTCACAAATATGACCTTAGAGTCGCCACAGTGGTAAAAATAATTTTAATAAATAATAAATATTATTTTTAGTAAATAACATTTTATAAAATAAATTTTTCGCACAATTTTATAGGTGTCGCGAGATCTTGATGATAACGAAGATGATTTAATTGAAATGTTAAGTACAAGACACCCTGTCAGGGGTATTGTTGGGTTAACAAAGTACCATAATGATATAGTAACTGTGGTACGAGACTTGCTTAATTATTCGTAAGTTTATGGAAACAGAAAAGACAGAGTGATTATCATTTATGCATTAAATGATGCAATCGTTATTTTTTTAATTTTCTTTTATTTATGCATTAAATGATGCAATCGTTAATTTTTTTTAAATATTCCTGATATAAAGCATTTTAAAAACTTCGTCCTCACATAATATTACAGCATCGAATACTACCCAAATAAAGATTGGGCAGGTGAAGCCCCAAATGGAACTCATTTGGGGGTAGTGGGTTGGCTTAGATCTCGAGAGGTTGATATTTCTGGAACCGGATTTTATATGTCGGGAAATAGACCGGAGTATATGGACTTTATAAACGGATTTTGGATGTTTGAGTAAGTAATTTATTGATTATTGTCCGCAACTAAAAGTATTTTAGATACATGAAATCCAATTTAGTGAATATTATTTCAGCAAACATCACAGCTTTTTACTTAACCAAATTTTATAAGTATCTAATTCTATAAAAATATGGAATTGTACATTATATTACAGCTGTAATAAAATTTTTCAATTACTATCTAGAACTGGATTCATGTACAGAGTATCAGGATTATCGGGGGCACAAGAAGGATCACTTTCCAAACCTTTCAGAGATGAAGTTTGGATAGTTACAGCAGTGATGGCCATCGTTATATTTTTATTTTTCAAATGCTCGTCGGCAAATGAGAATGTATTTAAAAGTTGGAGTTTCTCTACATTGTCAATTTTAGCTGCATTCTGTCAACAAGGTAAATATATAAAAAAATTAGTAACATAATTTTAAAATGATAATAATAATAATAAATGGTTGTCGGCATGATAGCAGATCCATAGTGTCTGCATTCTTTTTATTCCCTATTATACCTTCGACAACGTCGTGCAGGATGCACTCTTTTTGCAGAATGGGTCCGGATCCAGCCTCCTTTTTTTTTCTTGATTGTGCTCAGTAGAGTTTTTTCTTCCAGCACTTCATTCGTTATAATATCTGTCTTTATTACTTACTTTTTTCCCCAGCATCATATTTCATATTTTTGCATTAGTTCTTGTCGGCTTTCCCTAGAGTCCATGTCTACAGTCCGTACTTCAAATATAACACTTTATGTGATGAGTTTATACTTTATACTATTTATTAAAATGGTTATCCTTATCTAAGAGCTCTTAGATTAGCTTATTATACTAGTATAATAAAACTGATGATTCAGGTATGGAACCAAGCCCTTCACACGTCGCGCAGAGAATAGCATGCTTGGTGCTATACGTCGCAACATTACTTCTGTATAATTATTACACATCAAGTATTGTTGGTTTCTTGTTAAGTGTGCAGCCTGAAGGTTTAAAAACCATTGAACAGATAGCTTCCAGTTCTTTAACTGTGGTCTTCGAAGACGTTTCCTATGGCAGAGTCTTGGTCGAGGTCGGTATTCAATAAGATAGACTAAAAAGTGAACGTTAGTAAATAATATTAATACATGTCTTTCATTTCATGTGATACACTCCTGTATATAATAAATAAACCTAATATCATTTTATAAAATGTTCCAATTTGCGTTTTTTATTAATTACAAGTAAGAAGTGAGTAATTAAATGATCTTATATTTTTATATTTTGTAGGAACGATTCATACCAGGACTGGAAGTGTTGTATGAAAAAAAACTGAAGCCGCCTCGCAAACAGAACCAACCAGGTGTATTCGTCGTAGACAAGGAAGGCATCGGCCTGCTGCAGAAAGGCGGCTACGCGTACCACACCGAAATCCAGAGCGCCTACGCTAGCATAGGAAAAACATTCGACCAGCAGGAGATATGTGAATTGAGATCGGTATATCGGATGATATAATTTATTTAAATTTTATAATTCTGCAATAATCATTCACTTTAGGTTATGGTGTATCAGAAAGCTCCGCTCTACATAGGAATGCCAAAAAAATCGCCTTTAGGAGAGATATTTTCCATCGCGTAAGATATATTAAATTTAAGTTGAAATATTCTTCTAAACCTGCGCATTCAAATATATATATACCCAGAAATGTCTTTTGCAGCTTTTTGAGGCTCAAAGAAAACGGCATTGCTCAAAGATTCCGCAAATGGCGAGCTAACGATAGGCCTCCTTGCAATTCCAATTTTGTAGATGCAGTGTCTTGGTATGGTGTTGCAGTTGCTTTTAAACTATTGGGAATAGGTGTTGGAGTCAGCTTGCTTCTTCTACTTCTAGAAAAGGCATTTAAATATATTTTATAACAATTTATACTTATAATTATTTATATTAGCCAATATATTATTATATTAACAATATATATTCGTAATTTCAGGCAATGAACCATGTAACGCAACTACAACTAGGCAAGAAACAAATAATTGCTGATAAGTGTCAGGACGAGATTGTAGTTAAAGGAATATCATTTTTAAAATAATCATGACATAGATACAGAAAAATTAAAGAAAATCTTAATTATTATTATTATACACATAACCAGCTAACCGTGGCGCACTCGTCAAACAGTGTGTCGTCAGAATCGAGCCATGACGAATATATTCCTCAATCACAAAATAAGTTGTGATGGTAAGATATATTAAATGAAGAATTGGATTTATTTTAAGAAATTATAAATTTTATTATCTAATTTCACATTTTAAGTTAACAAGATATATTAAATAGGTATTGAACTAAAAACGCAATAAGTGCAATTAAATATTATAAAAATACGAACTGAAATTTTTGTTGTGAAGTGATAGGAATATCATAAAATATTATAGATCTAGTTTAATTATAAAAAATCATTAAAGTTTGGAATTAGTACTCTTATTACATGCACTGTATAGATAACGAAATATCGATACAAAACAGGCCGTTTTGTATTGATCACCGTTGACCTGCACTCTTGAATAAACTACATTTTCAGAACATTTTAAATAAAATGTGTTATTAAAATTAAATTAAATGAATACAACTACACGTACTATAAGTTGGTTTAAGGGGGCACAACTAGTGTAACCGCCTAAAAAAAGGTGATTTTTGGGAATTTATATTAAAAAAACTACTTTATCAATCATTTCAAAATTTTAGGAATATATTTATACATTTTGAGAATATATAGTAAAATTTTTGAAGAAAAAAATTTAATATTTTTTTAAGTTATTGTCGATCTCCAACGGCGCGACAAAAAAAGGCCCTTCACTGCTGCAGTGATTCCGGCCTTCTACGTCGATGAAATTTTAAAAAAAATTCTTGTTAAACTAGATAATATTGTCTGTAAAATGAACTATGATAATAAAAAAAAATAAAAATTGACAAAATGGTGGGTTTTTTTTAAAAAAAAGTCGAATTTTACCCAAAATTTTGGTCGTTTTTAGACTTTAGACGAAAACGATAGTTCATTTTACGGAGAACTATATCTGGAACATGTAAAAAAAAATTGATAGTGATCGGATCATTTGTTTTTGAGTAGCATTCGGAAAATGCTATTTCGAGAAAAACGCGTTTAAAGGTTAAATGATCGTTATATTATATACTATATATATATACTCTTCAAATGGCTGTAACTCAAAAACTATTTAAGATATCGATTTAAAATTCTGGTATGTTACTTTTAAAGGTATAACCTATCGAAATATGAAAAAATTGAAAATTCGATTTTTTGAAAATTTCACACTAGTTGTGCCCCTTAAAGTGCATCAATTCATTGATTCGTTCTTAATGAAAAAGAAAAAAATTATTTCCGAAATAAGCAGTTAAAATATTATCTAAATAGCTAAATCTCATTCTACATTTCAGGAAGTTCATGCAACTTGCCATTACAGGCAAGTGCATAAAATGCCACTTCAAAGTACTTATTTTATCTATCAATCATATTATCAGAATATTTCACACAATTTAATATTTATTTAAAGATTTTAATTTAAATAGCCAATTCTCGCCGATTTGTATGCAAGACCAATATACCCGTAAAGAACAGTTAACTCAAGGATGAGCAACACGCGGCCCGCCGGATGTTTTTCTGCGGCCCGCCAAGCATTTCTCAACAACAGATTATTTTTCTAGATATTTTATCAAATACGATATCAAATAATTTTGTCATCAGTCAAATTCTGATAAAAACTGTTGAAGTTCGAAGAAATAGCATTTCCTGATCAAATAAATATTAATTTATTTAAATATTAGTTTTAACAAGCTTCAATATTGCAAGAAAAATTGAGAACTTGCCCAAGAACATAGCAACAACGCATTTCTAAATTTGAAATAATTAAATAAGTAAATCTAATAAAGTCGCGAGGGTTAAATCATCGTGAATTTAAAGACTTCCTGACAATTTAGAGCGTGAATATGACGATTTTCAGAACGTTAGCTCAATAGTGATGCAATGCTTAAAGGAGTATACGACTCAAATGGCGAATTGCAATTGTTTCTGGATATGAAATAATAATTTTAGACCTTTCGTCATTTTGGTAATACGGAATAATATCTTTTGCAGAATCTTGTGTTCCACTTTTCATATTCAAAAAAAAAAACAAAATGTCAACAAATTTTAATTGTGATTCGAAATGTTCAATGCATTTTTTCAGTGAACATCGAATTTTTTTATAAGTCTTATGTCAGCCCTGAGAAAATTCCGCTTTGAAAAAAAAACGCAAATCAAATTATGATAAATTCTTTTTTAGGAAGTACGTATGTGCGCGAACAATTACGCAGGTCCACAAAAGAAAAGTCGCTGGAAAATAATTAATTCATTCAGAAAAAAATCTAGATTGAAGATTGTGCCAGTTTTTAAATGTTTTTCAGTATTTTGTGTCCCAATTTTGACTATAGATTTATCTTCAGCGGTAAAAGGTGCATTGGAAAACTATGCCACACATCCAATCCAGACAACTCTTTTTTGTGGGCCTGTGTTAATTTCAACAATAAAATTCATTAAAAATTACCACGTATCAAAACCAAGTAAAACATATCAAAGCTGCATACGCGTTGCTACTTTCTGCATTAAAAAAATTAAAATAAAGAATAAAATCTAAGAAAAACGGCTGATATTGAACAGCTTATATAAAAAAGCAGTGCCATTTTTTTTATTAAAGTTTTCAAGTAAAATTGTTTTTCTTTTAAATATTATTTTGTATTAATATTTATAAACACTTATTATATACACTTGTAATTATCATTCATTTTAATTTATTCAGAACACTTAATAAAAATCATTTTCAAACAATTATGTGTATTTAAACAACGAACATAGCGTTGTACAATATTTTTTCAATATTATTGTTATAATAGGTATCAAGAACAACAACTTTTATATATTAAAGTTCGATATTAGGTAGTAATTAAGCTAAGTCTACAACTTTTCAACTGGCAAGCTTATTTCTCAATCAAAAACATTCTTTGGACATAACGTTTCATAAACTTAAATCTTAAATAATATTTAATAAACATAGTAAAAATAATATATGCTATTATTATTAATATTAACCTTAAAGCTTTGCTAAGTACCAATAACAAAATATAATTGAAAGCTGATAATTCATGGAATAATCTATCAGTAAAATCTTCGTTTCAAAACAAAATCAATAAAAAGTTTAATTACAAATTATTTATAACACTTCTTTAGAATTAGATATCACAAAGTAAACAAAATAAATTAGAATATTATTGCTTTGTAGTTACAAAATATTGATATGTGTTGCAACAATGTATACTGCATAAATAGCTAAACAAACTTGTTAAAATAGAAAAATAAAGATCATTATATTAACTAATTGACTTATTTAAGAAAGTTCATAAATACAAAAAATCAATTTATAAAAAATATTTCATTGTATCGTATTGGAATGAATTCCTTAAATGATTTTTTCAAAACGTACAGCATTTATACTTATCATAATTACAAAGTAATTCAATACACACTAGCCCAATATAAGTCTTTTTAGAAAAAGGCATTATAAAATAAGTTAAACGCAGAAGCAATATCCTACTGCGTTATATAATACATAAGTTACTTCCAATGACTTAATTTCAGTTTATTCAAATATTTGAGCATCAAAATTAAACATGCAAAAAAAATCTTGCAAATAATGAATAAAATACTTTTGTCCTTTCAACAATCGATCCCGAATTTTTTTGATAATTTTCTTATAGTACGCATGGTATATATATAATTATATTAAAATCTAGGCACAGGGTATCTACATCATCTAAGCGGGAAACAAATTTGCAAAACAACCAACATTTTGCTTGAAAAATTGACGTTTCGATTTTTTAATATTGACTATTCCAATACCTGAATAAAATTTAGGATCATTTCTTTCAATTTGTTTTATTAGTCAAACAAACTGCAGAAATTCAATGAAAATAAATCATTTGTACTTGTGAATTAAAAAACACAGGAAAGATTTTAAAAATGTTTTGAAAATATTTAGAAACTCGTATTAAAATTAAAAAGCAAAAGATTATTCATATTATACAATATTATATAAACAAATATCTTGATATAACATCTTCATACGATTAAAACTTATGGGCTTTGATTTTTGATTTTCGGCTTTGAATTTTTAACAAAAATATAAAATAAGTATGCGGTAGTGATTACGCTTCTATTGTATTGTAATCAAGGATCTCGATAAACAAATATTTTAAAGTAATGTATTTTATTTAATAGTGTTCAACTTAAGTAATAATTAATAATCTATTTTATGATGAAATACTAGGGTTTAAAGAGAAGCTTGAAAATTGGAATTTCTTAGTTTAGTAAAAACCAAAAGAATAGGTCCATATAAAAGCTTCTTTAAAAAGATGTGTGTAATACAAATATGCAAAAATTTCGGTGTTAATTTTATCATATTTTCAGATACATTATTATTTTTTCATAATGATCATGATCATTTGTTAAATGGATTTATTAATTTGCATTATAAATTATAAATTTTCAAATAATTCATATTGCCAAAATAATTTTCAGGGCAATATTTTCAATTTTATCGTTAATCAACGCTAGGAACAAAAGTACATGTAGGTGCAATAGAGGCAATCATAAAGAATATTTGTTTCGAATTTAGGTATAGACAAACCTTTATCTTTTTAATTACTACTTTTATATCTGGTAACTTCATAATGTCAAAATTGTATAATTCAATTATAATTCTATACTATTCCTGTATCAAAAAATTGTAAAAATAACGTACATTTATTACAAAATTGATTTATTGATATCAAAAATTTTAATTCATTAAAAAATTTTACTCTGTCAAGCAGAATTGAGCTCTATCGCACCCACTTGAGTTTATTCTAGAATTGGTTAAATAAGTACTAATTCGGAATTCTAAAAACCCTAACAAACATTTCACAAAAAGGTTCTAACTACGTAACTATATGAACTACAATTGGCATTGATTATTGTTTATTGTAAATTTTCAAAACTTATTACTA